ATAGGCAGATTTGATAGATTACTACTTTGCCTTTCCTTATTCGGCAAAAAGGCGAGTGTATGAAATGAAATTGCTTTCAAACCACACAAGAACTAAATCACTGAGACCCATGGCTGGGGCTTAATTTTGAATACATTTATAGATACGTTGAAGCAGGGAAATGCATGTCCATTGGTGGTACAATGAGGCCAAGGAAACATGAGCCATTTTAGAAATACAGCTTCATTCTCTAAAAAAAAAGTAAGGGATAAAGGAATAGATATCGACTTTTCTAAAGATATATCTAATTTGCGCATAGAATGAAATATATCGCTTCCTCATAAATTTTATGACGAAGTATGCCTTCCATATCTTCCAAGCAGTCTTCCAATACATTTAAAAATTTGAAAATAAACCATATCACACTTTACATTGGTGCTACCTTGACATTTACTTAGTTTGAATGATTATTCCTTCAATTTCATAGTATTTTCTATTACCCGTTTTAATGGATGATCGATAAGTCCACGGCAGAGATGCTTCGTCCAAAAGCAGTTTAGGAGATCGTGAGTAATTTGTTCTAAGCGATTGCCGCTTGTATCTGAACAGAGGATAGTATTTGAAATATGGCTGAATATAAACAAACATCCAAGAAGTTTCGTTCATCAAAGTAAGCTTGCTCGAAACATATGACTCATCGTATTAGGACTATATTGCTGTTTTAGTCGCACGCTATAAACCTTAATGAGAGCGTAAATTGGTTGGAGTAAGTAAGTTTTCTCAGCCATGGCTAATTGCTTTTCTGACGGCAAAAATTACTAAACGCGACATATTCTCTTTGGGGTATTTCTACCGCCAAGGCTTTTAGCAAAATCTCCCTTATGCTCACTTTCTGAAGCTAATCATTTATAGGGAAGATTTAGCGCAAGAAGGCGCTTACAACGAATCCCCCTGAATGCTAGGCTCCACTTCTCGTGCATCCTCATAATTTGCAGCAATACCCGTGCTCCTCTGGGGATTCGCGTCTACATTGCGCAAATTGTTACTGACAAGCCTATTTTCCATTTGGCAGGTGGACTGCGTTCCACCCAACAACACGCTGTCGTTTCCTCCCTCACGATTCGCCTTAGATCCTTTTTGTCAATGCTTCAACGACTCTTCCTACTCGAGCTTATCCTACAGTGGTTTGAACTATGACGGCTTCGAGTCTGATATTGTTGATATTATTAGTTAAGAGTGTCCAAACAAGTCGCAAGGTTCCGCTCAGTAAGTATTCGCATAACTAATTTTGGTGCAATCAGATCTAATTTGAATTTAGGAGCG